TCACAACAACCCTGTATCAGGTTTCTGAGGAGCAATTGATGAGTTTCAACCACCAACCTAACAGTTCAAACAGACCTTGGAGTTAAGTGCTTATCCTATAATGCCACACCATGACTCCACCATGAAACCTGTGAATTCCTTGAGAACAGAGGTTGAGTTTAATATGTCTATTCCAAGCAAATAATTGGGACTCGGCAACTGCTGAGTGGGATTCATCTCACCAAGGAATTAAAAAAAAAAACTTGAATTTTCAAAGTAAGTGGATGCAAAATTTTTTGTACTTAATTTAACTTTTAACTAGAGTATTTGGGTTCAGCTACGAAAACCTGGACACACCATTTCTGCATTCTCAAAATCATACACACATTCACACGCAAACCCTAAATTAGTAGGTTGCCAAATGGTATCCAGACTCCCTATTAATTCTATATAATGATTTGTGAATTTCTCTGCATTGTTTCTTCAATTTTAACATGTATTTGTATCATCTTCCAAATTAGTTACATTGATAATTTTAATTAGAATGCTATTCAACTCTTCATCATTTCTCTTTTATCATTAGAGGCACTAAACAAATTAGAACTAATAATTATCTCAGTCTCAACCTCCTAATGTCCATCCCCTGTAAGTAATATTTAGATCATGCAATCACACAAATCAATGATGGTTATATTTCCTAATAAGAATTTTCCAAAAAAAAAATGTGAGGGGCTTCAAAATGTTTGTGGAAAAATCCATTATCTTTTCATTCAATTTTTCTGCAAACTTTTTGAAACCCTCTTGCATTATTTTAACCTAAACAAAATGAAGACAAAAGGAAAACACTGCACTCAGACAGCCAAGAGAGATAATGCAATGTGCTTGAAAGGCATATCACAAGGTTACTTTACAGAACAGGAAGCATCAAACTATGCACATCAGTTGCCACTCTACACACAGATGTCTCTGACATGGTAATAAAATGTGAAACAGTTTGGTTTAATAATAATAAAAAAGCAATAACAGTTGGTGCATATTACATGTAGCATCTAGCCCTGGTTGCCTAGCAACAAGTCATGAGTGAACTCCACAGAGAACGAAAGCCCTAAACGAATGTACAGTTCTGTGCGAGTTTCAAGGACCCGAAGAGACATGTCAGTAGTTAATCTAAATTCTAGTTGACAATTACCATACTGAGGTGGAAGAAGGAGAATCCATCATTATTTCACGGACCCACACATTAACTAGAGGTGAGATTTTTGTCCTTTAGGTTTCCATCTTTGAAACCAGTGGTTTGATAAGAAAAACTGTGACAATATGATTTATAAATTAAATAAACATTTTACAGAAAGAGGCAACAAAACATCACTGTTACAACATGCATTCATTCATGTGGCAAAATTCATAATGAATGCTTACCATATGCCAGGCATGATCATGTTGTTGTTATTAAATGCTATCGAGTCGGTTCCTACCCATAACAATCCTGTATAGGATTTCTGAACTGCAGACCTTGTGATTCAAACCAACTTTGCAGTCCAGTGCATTAACCCACAACACCACACCAGAAGTCTTAGATATTATCATAGCCATTGACATTGCAACTAGCAGTTCAGTACTTACCGCACAGTGCCACACCAGGAGTCCAATATAGAGCTAGCCACAGGGTGTTACAGGAGTCCTGGTATGGTGCTACAGGATAAGCACTCAACTGCTAAACACAAGCTTAGCTGCTCAAATCCACTACCCGCTCCTAGGAAACCCGATACAGGGTGCTATGAGTAAGAAACAACTCAACAGCACTGAACAACTACAATGTGATGTATTATGGAAACATAATGAAAGATACCCAATTCAGATTACGGGGAGGACAAAATGGTCAGAGGAGCTTTAAAAGGCTAAATAAGCATTAGTCAAGAGATAGAAATGTGAGAAGGGGGAAAGAACATTCCAAGAAGAAAAAAAATGATTGCCAAGACATAGAGTTGAGCAAGAACATGCTGTATTAGAGAAACTTCAAGACAAAGTTAGCATGCTAGCTTTGAAAAGATGAGTACAAACAGACAGAGCAGGTCCCTTCTAGAAGGACATCATATGCCAGCCTAAAGAGTTCAAACTTCATCTCAAATGAAAGTGGAGAGGGAGAGGATGTTTTAAGCAGAATTATATGATTACATCTGACAATGATATGGAATATATTAGAGAGGGAAAAGAGGGAGTCTGGGATAAAAGACAAGCGATTATTACAGTAAGACAGATATTCAGGATATAAAACCAACAGGCTTTGGTCATCAACAAATGGGTAGGCAAGAGGGGATGGTTAAGACCCTCAAACACAACTCCTGTGTTTCTTAACTCACTAACACAATGCTCTAGAATACTTAATGATGATAGAGTATTCATGAAATATTCAGTTCACAATAAAATACAGGTTTAGACACCCCCTCAAAAAATTATGCAGAGATTAAGAAATGTCTATTTGGAAGGAAATGTCAAGGGAGAGAAGGAAAGGAAAGAGAAGAAAAGGGAAAAGAAAAAAAAAAGAAAATGAAAAGATACTAGAAACTAACATCCATTCAAATTTTTTAATGACAGGTACTGTTCTAAGTTTTAAAAAGAATAAAAAGAAACCATAAGGTAAAAGACTATTGACACTTGATTATATAAAACTTCACAGTATAGTTGGGTAGACAATGAAAGCTCTCCGGAAAAAAATAAAGTAATAAACACAACTAAGGATTACTATCCTTTATATTCATTCTGCTGTGCATAAGGTCTCTATGAGTCAGTACTGAATCAATGGCACCTAACAACAACAACATACTGGTTGGCATTTGAACTGCAAGGATGGTGGTTCAAGCTCCCCAGGTGCTCCTTCAAAATCCTATACAGTGTCACGATGAGTCTGAACCAACCTGAAGGCACTTAACAACAACAACAATATTAAAGAAGTCATTGTTACCTGCCATCAAGTTGATCACAGAGCACAACCGCTGTGTCAGGTTTTCAAGGCTCTGACCTTTTAGAAGCATATCACCAGGCCTGTCTTCTGAGGTACCTCTAGGTGGGTTCAAACCACTAATCTTATAACGAGCAGCCAAGTGCTTAACCATCTGTGCCACCCAGGGACTCTAAAGTACCTTAGATGATCAAATGAAGTCAGGAGACACTATCAATATATGAGAAGAAACAGACAATAATCCCATCTAAATAAAAATAGGTACTAAAATGCTTCAAAGCCATGCTTAATAGCAATCAATGAAATTAATACAATCACAATAGTATCTTTATGATTAACCTACTAAATTAGCAAATGTTTTGGCTGTTCCACCTTGTTCAGGGCAATATAGGCAGTTTTGTGTAACATGAAAGTATAAGTAGAATAAGGTTTTTGAAAATTATATAATTAATTCTTTTAAAATGCTCATACTCTTTGACATAGTTAATTCTACTTCTGAAACCCTAACCTAAGGAAATGATGTAAATTTATATAAAAGTTTGCATACAACATTATTTGGTGCAGTACAAATAAGTGGAACTGGCCTAAATGCCCTCCCAATGTGAGATAAATATGCTGTAGCACAATTGTATAGGACACCTGATGTGGTGCTATAGAATCAACACTAGACTGTGAACCACAAGGTGGACAGTTCAAACCCACCAGCGGCTCTTCAGAAATTCTACACAGGGTCACTATGGGTAAGAACCAACTCAATGGCACTTAACAACAACACAATTGTATAAGAAAATATCCTGTAGTCACTAAAAGTTATATTTTTGAAGTTGTTTTAATAGCAAATAAAATGCTCTAGAGATCAGACAATGTATGGCACTGGGCAAATCTGCTGCACAGGAACTTTTTAAAGTATTGAAGAGCAGAGATGTCAGCTTGAGGACTAAGGTGCGCCTGACCCAGGCCATGGTGTTTTCAATAGCCTTATATGGATGTGAAGCCGGACAGTGAATAAGGAACATCATAGAAGAATGGATGCCTTTTGAGTTGTGGTGTTGGAGGAGAATACTGAAAGTGCCATGGACTGCCAAAAGAACCAATAGATCTGTTTTGGAAGAAGTGCAGCCAGAGTGCTCCTTGGAGGCCAGGATGGCTAAGCTTTGTCTCTCATACTTTGGACATATTGTCCAGAGGAAACAGTCGCTGGAGAAGGATGTCATGCTGGGTGGGGTGCAGGGTCAGAGAGAAAGAGGAAGACCCCTAACGAGATGGAGTGGCCAGGTGGCATCATTGATGGACAAGTGTGGCAGCGGTAGTGAGGTTGGCCCAGGATTGGACATTGTTTCATTCTGCTGTGCATGGGGTCACTATGAGTCGATTCCGACTCGATGGCACCTGACAACAACAACAATCTTTATATAAAAATACAATTTCAGTGCTGAATTTTATGAAAGCTCAGAGGGAGAAAGTATTATAGCTGATTACTGATGATAGACTTACTTTGTCTTTTCCTCTATTTCTTAAATTTATTTTTTAAATAATGAGGATTATTTGTATGGGAGGGAAACAAATTTCCTATCTTACCTATCTCCAATAGTAATACGTAGGTACCAAAAGTACGCTTTTTATCTGTATTAGATATTTAGCTCATTACTTTTAGATATTTCTTAGAGTCATATATACTCATTTTAATTTAAACTTAACAACTAGCTCATCCATTTTTATTGAACTTAAAGAGTCTCCTATGTTGTTGTTAAGTGCCATCAAGTCAATTCTGACCCATAACGACCCTGTATAGGGTTTCCAAGGAGCAACTGGTGAGCTTGAACCGCCGACCTTGCAGTTCAAACAGCTTTGCAGTCTGGCGTATTAACCCATAGCGCCACACCAAGACTCCTCTAAAGTTAAGGGTAGCAAGCTATATTGCATTAAGAACTTCAATTCAGACCACAGAATTAAAGCAAGATGTTCTTTAGAAATTGAAGGGGCTTTAAGCACTTTAATATATATTAACCACTTTAAATGTACTTGCATGAATGAGCATAACAAGACTGTGCCTTTGTATTACCTGAGGTGGTTAAGCAGAGGCTGAAGTCTCTCATCAGACTGCACAGTAGGCAAGGACCTGGCTGTTAACTGAAAGCAGAGAAGATGATTAATACAACTTGTAAAAGCCAAACACTGAACACATGAATACTAAATGCAAAAGTGAGGGTTTGGGAAGGTAGAGGGAGAAAGGGAAACTAAAAATATAAGGATATGTTTCTCTTTTTAAATCAAGAAATTATATATTAAGCTGATTTAAACTACATGATTAAAGCTAACTACCTGACCTAAAGTTGTAGATTATGGTAGATGATGTCATTGAATTTAGAAATAAGGAAAATGGGAAGCAAAACAAATAGTCAGAGGGTGTGTTCATCTGAGTTCATGAAAAAGACTCTAGTTAGGAACATACCATTTTTGTAAATAAAAATGGAAAAATTTCAAAATGCTAAAATGCATTACAACTAACCTTGCTCCACTGTATCCCAGGATAATGAAAAATCTGGGGAGGGGGACTTTCATTTATAGCTAAGCCACTGTGAAATTGGTTACATGCTGAATTGAATACACACACATATAAACACACACACACACCATGTATTCCTTCATTTTGAGTCTATATTACTAAAAGAAACCAAGGATATCTTTTAAATACATAAAGGGATCCAAAGTATCAAATACTGAAATATAACCTCAAATTGATCTAGAAGTAAAATGTAAGAGCTGAAGACTAAGAAATTATGCATTAGGCTGACAGTATCATGGAATTATGAGCCTCTGATATACTTTATTATAATAATATCAATTACATCTCTATGTATTCCTATTTTATTCTCTGTTCTTAAGAGAATGCCCTTTCAAGCTATAAGAATTTGACCCAACGAAATTAAAGACATTCATCAAAAGTAATAAGATAGGTTGAAGTAAACTAATAAAACAAAATATAAGATAAATTTAACAATTCACAAAAGTGAATCTTATGACAAAAACCAGAGATTTCCTTTGGTTTTGTGTAGGGTACTCTAATTTTTCATTTATTAATGTCTCATTAAGTAAAAATTCCTAAGAACTGAAACTCTACATTTATCAAAAATAACATTCATCAAAAATAACATCAATATTATAAAAGAAAAACTAACACTGTAAATTAAAAATATACAGCATCTATCTAATAGATACTGTATTTATGAAAAGAATAATTGTTGACCTAAGTGCCATGCATGTATATGTAAAAATAATCATGAATAGACATTCCAATTTTATAGAAAAGAGTCAACACGTATCAACAAAATTACTGAGTAAACTGAAATACAATAAAGTTACACAATTAGTCTACTACAATTTTACGACAGCCAAGAGATTATCAGTATCTCTGAGGAATGTAAAGTCTAGTACTTCATAATACATCAAACATTATCAAAGTTCTCTAGATTTTATAAACAAAATATTTAAATATTTCAGTATACCATGCATCTGTTAATGTCAAATCCCTTTATAAAATATAAATTTCATTGTTCAAGAGATTTCACTGCTCAGAACCAAAACTACTTTCTAAAAAAAAATAAAACAATTTATATGGATATTCCAAAAGTCAATTCTCGGCTCTTTGCTCCTCCCCATTCGATAGGCAGCCGCAGCTTCTCTTGCAGTACCAGCCGCATCCCTGAGACAAGATGGTGAAGGTCAGAGTCAACGGATTTGGCCGTATTGGGCGCCTGGTCACCATGGCTGCTGTTAACTCTGGCAAAGTAGAGGTTATTGCCATCAATGATCCCTTCATTGACCTCAACTACATGGTATATATGTTCCAGTATAATTCCACCCATGGCAAGTTCAATGGCACTGTCAAGACTGAGAATGGGAAACTTATCATCTCTATCTTCCAGGAGCGAGATCCCGCCAACATCAAGTGGGGTGATGCTGGTGCTGAATATGTTGTAGAGTCCACCGGTGTCTTCACAACCTTGGAAAAGGCTGGGGCTCACTTGAAGGGTGGTGCCAAAAGGGTAATCATCTCTGCCCCTTCTGCTGATGCCCCCATGTTTGTGATGGGCATGAACCATGAGAAGTATGACAACTCGCTCAAGATTGTCAGCAATGCCTCCTGCACCACCAACTGTTTGGCCCCCCGGCCAAGGTCATCCATGACAATTTTGGCATCGTGGAGGGGCTCATGACCACAGTCCATGCCATCACTGCCACCCAGAAGACTGTGGATGGCCCCTCTGGGAAACCGTGGCATGATGGCCATAGGGCTGCCCAGAACATTATCCCTGCATCTACTGGTGCTGCCAAGGCTGTGGGCAAGGTCAGCCCTGAACTGAATGGGAAACTCACTAGCATGACCTTCCGTGTACCCACTCCCAATGTGTCTGTCATGGACTTGACCTGCCACCTGAAGAAAGCTGCCAAATACAATGACATCAAGAAAGTGGTGAAGCAGGCATCAGATGGATCTCTAAAAGGCATCCTGAGTTACACTGAAGACCAGGTCGTCTCCTGTGACTTTAACAGTGACACCCACTCTTCCACCTTTGATGCTGGGGCTGGCATTGCCCTCAATGAACACTTTATCAAGCTCATTTCCTGGTATGACAATGAAATCGGCTATAGCAACAGGGTGGTGGATCTTATGGTCCACATGGCCTCCAAAGAATAAGAGTCCCCTGGACCACCAGCCCCAGCAACAGCACTAGAGGAAGAGAGAGGCCCTCAGCTGCTGGGAGTCCTTACCCAACTGTAATCCTCCTACACACTGAGAAATTCCCATCCTCAGTTTCCATCCAGACCCCCTGGAGAAGGGGAATGGTTTTAGAGAGCCCAGTCTTGTCATGTACCATCAATTAAGTACACTATCCAGCCAAAAAAAAAAAGTCAATTCTCTGAAAACAGAAGAAGCAGTCACTTTTGCCACTCTAAGTACCATGCTTTCTAATCAAATTATCTTTTCTAAATAAAATCCAAAAATTTATCAGTAACCGCAAAATATTTCTATCTAGTAGCTTCATATTGAAAATATTTCTCATTTCAATTTCAATCTTTGTTTCCTTTTTCCTACCTGATGAAGCACACTGAATTAATCAATACAAGGTTTGGTCTGTTTTTAGGCAAGTATAAACAAATCTCATTTTAAAGATCAGCATCACTGAGCAAGTCTTCCATTTTGAAATAAGCCTATATTTAAAAAAATATATATACTGTATTTTAGCCAACTAATCCTCCTTTTAATGCCAATTAATAATATAGTGTTGTAGGATAAGCACTGGACTGCTAACCACAAGATCAGTGGTTCAAACTCACCACTTGTTCCTCAGAAACACTACGCAGGGTCACTATGAGTCAAAATGGACTCAACAGCACTTAACAACAATAACATATGATATTGATTCAAAGTCATCTGAGACAAAAGGGAGACTTGGAGGTGTCTGATCTAACCCTGGGGAAATTGGGTTGTTCAGGCCACATGCAGTAGACTGCTGGTAAGAGTGCAGAGCTGGCACTAGTATCTGTGGTCTGCTGCCACATCATTAGGAGAACTCCATGGTAGCATGTGACCCTGCTAAAGACTAAAATCTCAACATGCATTTGTTCCCTTATTCCCTTCACCTCTCAGAGGAGGATGTTGTTCGCCAAAAGTCACTTCATCCACACATTTTCTGTCATAGAGATTCCTTCGCATCTTTTAAGATTTGGCTCAAGATGTCAACTCTGCCAAGAGGCCTTCTGTAATCAGTTTTGGTAAAGTAATACCTTCTCTACGGGTATTCTACTACTCAGGTGTCTTATAACATTTATCACTATCTGAAATTTACCCATCTACATCTCTCTCTGCACAGGAATATACAATCTGGTGGTGGTGGTGTGCCATGAAGTCAGTTCCGACTCATAGTGACCCTGCACAGGGTTTCTGGGGCTGTAAATCTTTACGGGAGCAGAAAGCCTCATCTTTCTCCCGCGGAATAAGCTGGTAGTTTCAAACTGCTGACCTTGAGGTTAGCAGCCTGACTCGTAACCACTATGCTACCAGAATCTGTTAGGGTCCTCCCCTGTTAGGGTCCTAATCTGTTCGGGTAGGACCTTTCCTGCCTTACCCACTACTTTTTCTCTACTGCCTAGAATAACACAGAAAGAATTAAGCACTCTACAAATATTGCTGAGTGAATGAAACATTTGTTTCTCTCAAATACTTACAATAGAGGCACAAGATAAAAAAAAAAAAGTCTGCCTTAAACAATGACCTTTTTGGTCTTGCATTTCTAATGTTTTCATCAACAAATATGGCCTATCAACTTGAAAGGTCATAAACATTTCTCCTTTCATTCCTAGCTGAAAAGAATATCTTAAGACCTTTTGAAAGGAAGTGCATGTTCCAACATTCAATACAGTTCAAATCGTAGCTCTTCGGTTCTAAGGAAACAATCCAAAAATTCAAATTATAGATACATTTTTAACAAGTAGTAACAAAAAAAGCAACCATGATATAGCTCCTTCCTCTATGTGTTCATTCTTTTTCTCTTTTTTTGGCATTAATGGATAGCTAAAAGGACATATAAGAGCAAAAATTAACAACTGAATACATTTTTCCAACATTATGAACAATTCAAGTATGTGTCCAATTTGAGTAATTAACAATAAGCGCCTATATGTCTACCACCTAGATCCCACCATTAACATTTTATTGTACTGTGTATCATGTTACTGTTGTTGTTAAGTGCTGCTGAGTCAATTCCAACCCATAGCGATCCTGTGTAGGGTTTTCAAGGAGCAGATGGTGAGCTTGAACCATTGACCATACAGTTCAAACAACTTTGCAGTCTAGCACATTAGCCCACAGCACCACACCAGGACTCCTGTGTATCATATATCTATTTCAATTACAACAACAACAGACAGATGTATAAAAATGTTCTCTATCATTTAAATCACAATGCTAAAATTAAAGCACTGTTTGTAATTCTGGAGATAAGGGAGAGGTAAGTAAACCAAAGGAGAAGAAAGAAGAGTCAAAAAAAGCCATGAGGCTTTGAGCGGGGTTTGGAGCTGGAGAGGATTATTGCAGCTACAGACTCCAGTGAAGAGCTGATGTTCCT